TAGCCCAAAATTGGTGACAAAACTTGTGTCGTTAGAGAAGATGCGCTGAAAACCTCTTTAAGGGTTTAAAAAGTCGCACTGTAATCCATTGTGAAAACGCTGGTACCGAACTATTGTCCCCGCTTCACTGATATCTGCTATTGGAATGGACGTAACGACACGAGCTACTGCTCGTGCTCCACTGGCACTAGCTTCGTAAGCGACATCTTACGGGATATTTCTGTCTGGACGCGCAGCTGCCCCTACTACATAGGACATAGCCTCGCTGTCATTTTGGTAGCGATTTTCCGGTCGTAGCGCGTCATCTGAGAGTAGAAAGGGCGAATCTAAGACATTGCATTTAGAGATGACTTACATTTTTAGTTCACTTTTTCATATCCGTATAGTAGGTTATCAAGCCGTTGGCTGCGAGGAATCGTCTGGCTCTTCGGAGATGCGGCAAAGTTGTGCAGCACTGACCATCACCTAATGAGCGGACGTGGTAAACGTTTCCGAAGGTACGTAAGTGGCAAGCTGGTGACCTTCAGAGTTTTACAAGCTTTTTACTTAAGAATGTGAATCCCTTTTACACCCGCCCACAAGGGAAACCCCTTCCTTCTCTAAACATTCCACCGCGACCAAGTTTTATATAAATTAATGAACCCACCCGAGGAGGAAACCCTCAAAATACCGGAACTTGGGAACGATGCTGGGGCACATAACCGGACAATGTGCGCTGTCTTTTGATCGCTCGCATAGCGTTTTGTAAATGGTACATCCGACTACACATGATACAATTGGGGGTGCCGTTAATGTAGCAGTTAGCGTGTCTGTCTTAACCACCATGCGTCTGGGAAACTAGAGATACGGGGTTCGATTCCCCACGGTGTCCGTCCTTCCTGCCAGGGTAGGAGGCAGGCGACGCTTTTTAGCCTGAGCAGCTGGGTGCGTCGTAAAGCCCCAATGACAACAAAACGCAGTTGGGTTCACGTTCACGTCTGCTCTGATCGCCGAGATCTGATATAATTACTCAAAAACACGCACCTGGAAGATACGTGACCGCCCCTCATCCAAATATACACATCATTTTCACCGGCACTAGCCATCGATAACAGGTCGCCAACAGTGGGCATGTTCTCATTGTCAGCGCTGATGAAATCGTGGAGTTGAAACCCAGCTTCTCCGTGTCAGGAGCCAGTTCTGAGCCGTGTTGTCGAGCTTTTGGTTCAGTTGCAAATATTTCGTTTCGGCTGTGTGTTCGAAGGATGACCTGGCGGACTAGATTTAGAGCACCGGCCCAATAGCTTGCTCTATGTGCCGTAAACCCACCACTCAGGTTGTGACGTCCGGTTCTGCGATCTGCGTTCGGCCGGGAGAGGTGGAGTTAGTTTTCCCCTTACAGGAACACGGAGATTTCAGCATCTGTTCATCGATCAAGTTAGCATTCCTGTTCGTGACTTAGGTCGTGTCAAAGAGGTTAACCTCTAACAAAATTTGATGACATATAACGCTTTTATAGGTCATTTACCATTGTTCAAAAGCTTGTTATATTGACAGAACATGACTTTGCCCCCAGTTTGTGCCTCTCAGATTTTTTTTTCGAATAATGCTACCGTCAGGCTATTTTTTATCAGGTTAGGTTATGGTCAGGTTATTTTTTTATCCATTTCGTCAGGTTCAGTTTTTGCTATTTTTCATGAATGATACATCGTTGTACATATCTTTGTGCAGTTCTGGTGTTTGTGCGTGAAGAAAAGGTGCTAACTGACATGCATGGCCATATGGCCATAAAGCCAATCATATCATATGACGCCTAGTATGTGTCATATGTGCCACATCATCATATGATATGTGATAAGCGTCATTTGTGCCACACCATCATATGATATACAATATGTGTCACACCACATCATATCATATCCTATCATATGACCCTGTAGCACATGACCTTGACCGAAGGCATGACCTGCCTCTACGGGTGCCGTCTGCAAAACACATGCTGGGCTCAAAATAAGCGGTTTAATAGGTAATCTTGGACCCAGAACCCAAATCTCCCTTGATATGTTGTGATATTATTCATGTGCATGATTAGGTCACAATCGGTCACGTAAAAACATGAAAGTTGGTATGAGGCCACCCAAGGTCGATGATCTATGCTGTTGGTAGCGGATAAGCTAGATGAATGAGTGCGGCGCGTGCAACCGCCTCCTTATCGTGTTTATGCAGCTGATGATGCATAATTTAATGCACTAACGTGACTATTCACACTTTGTTACGACTTCATTACCAAGCTTTGAAGAGACTATGCATCATGTATACAAGAGTTATGTGATCCTGAGTACCTGTAGATGCACAACGCACCATTTCTGACCACCGAAAACGTTGTGCTGGACAATTAGACCCGGTTAGAATTTCAATGTTTTTAGTTTGATGGTTTATGAATTTGCCGTGAGTTAGCATCAGATTACTTTTAGGTCAGCTTAGGATCGTACTTTTGTGTTAACATGCTTCTTTAACAGCTTCACCTCATAAATATAAACTTGATCAGAGCCACATCGTGGAAAATATCGTTATTGCACCCTCCTGGAATGCCAATTTTGAACGGTGACCTGATCTAGCTTGACCCTTGTGTGGAACAGAAGCGGTCGGAATGGACTCTCCAGTCTTTGCGCTATTTCCGTGGTCTCAGTATCCGTATTGGCGTTACAATATAGGTTTGAACTGCGTCCATCGGAGCGATTTTTTCCTTTCATGACCTCTTGCGACCTCGCATTTGACTTAAGGTCAAAAATGTGGCGTGCGTTTTTCATGATTTGACGAGACCTTCACAACAGCAGCTTTCTTTTTCTTACACGGCGTCTGGAAGTGGGAGATCCCGGGGGAAGTCAACTTCCCCTGGTCGGGTGCGGTTTCCTCCGATCCTCGGCCAGACGTAGGTGAAGTGCTTAAATTTTGCCTTCGCTCTTCCGCCACCACGACTGTAGATGTTTTACGTTCTGCGCAACGCTGCTACACGGCCGCCTTGGGCATGGGTTGAAACTCGTTGGCAACTTGCCAGCTGATCTTTCGTTGGCAGTCTGGCTAAGCAATGCTCCCGCTGAGGGACACGTATCATGTGCTGCTGAATAACTAGTCAAGCAGCTTTTCCCCAACCAGCGGAGGTGGGTTTCCATCCAATATTGCGTAAAACACCATCCTGATAAAAGGGTGTCTTAAACAAATAAGCTGAATGGGCCACGGCACAACTTCTAGAAATGTTGACACTTGTTTGCTGAAAGCTGTGTTGTGGTGGGATCACTGGCTGCAAAGGTCTATGTTTGTCGCTGTTGCCTGTTGTACAAAATATGTCAAAGGCAGGGCTGGTCTGCACGGATCGGGCTACAGAATATGCCCGGTCTGCTGTCTGGCTGGTAAAAAACAAAACATCGTGATAGCAGGGAAAGGGATCCACACTAAGAAAATAACCTAATGCTGCTTGCTGGACCGAATAAGACGCATCTTTCGTGTTGCGTAAGGTCAAAAATTTGGTGTGGAGTTTTCATGATTTGACAAAACCCTCAAAATGGTACCCCTATTTTTCTCAAGGGCAGCATGTTTTTCTCTAGGATTTTTCATTACCTCACATGATGAAAAAAACTTTGGTATTCATGTGTGATGTCTTGATATTCGGCATAACGGTTACACGACGGCACATTGGACATGCGAAATCACTTCGCGTTGTCATATGTGCGGCATTGTTCAATGAATTGTTCGCATTTGTCAGGAACAAAGATTAGATACATCGTGATTATTTTGAGTGGTGTTGGAACGCTTTGTCTGATACGTTTGAGACGTCACTAATCCCAAACACTTCGATGTTATAACGATACCTTCCCAGGGCGTGTCCAAGCTACATTGGTTGGGGCTCTATCCATAGATGAGCTTGAAAACGGCAGACAGTTTCTGCACGCAGGGTGCTCCTGTTTATGTAGCACAAAGTCTTTTTCTTCACCGCTGCCTTGAAAAGAAACGCACAGTGTTGCAAATGCACCAAAAACATAACGAAATGAAACAGGCTTTGAAAAAGCACTTTGAAAACTTGCATGCATTCTCTAACACGTGGAACAGTGCTTAGGGAGAAACTGGTGCGCGGCCTGGTGTGCGAATATCTGGCTGTCCACACATTTGCATGCGACAGATCCCCGTCAGTTCCCTGCCGCGTCATGTGTCATGACATACGCATGTTTTGAGCTGGCTGCCACCTCCCCAAGTCAGAAAGCCAACAGATCTGCACGTTGTGAGAGTGCAACCGGAACTGCTTCATACCCGGTCACGTGTAACACGCGGACGCACGGATGCCTGTCCGTTGTCAGCTTTGCCACGTATTTCCACGTGACGAGTTGGCTGCACTTCTTCGGTTTCAAGGATGTACAGACGTCAGCCACTGGACGCCTTGGCAAGTGACGAGCTGGCGGTGCGGTCTCTCTCGCGGGTGTGTGGGAAGCCCACGGCGCTGTGACACCTGTGCCCCGGAGAGGCCCGCATACAGCAAAGTGCACTCCGTGTGGGGCATTAAGCAAACGACCAAGCCTTGTCTTTGCTGGGACTGAACCGGAAAAAGCGACGTTGACCTGCGCGCTAGGTCGGAGGGCGGCACAGTGCCTGCGGCAGACGAGAGCGACATTGTGGCTAACGAAAACGATACCGTGGCTGACGAATGCGACACGGCGGCTGACGAGAGCTACATAGCGGCTGACGTGAGCGACGCCGTGGCTGACGAGAGCGACACAAAGGCTGACGAGAGCGACATGGCGGCTGACAAGAGCGACACGGTGACTGACGAGGGCAACACAGCGGCTGCCGAGAGCGACACGGCGACTGACGAGAGCGACACATCGATCGACTAGATTGATGCAGCGGCTGACGAGAACTACACAGCGGGCGGTGAGAGCGGCACAGCGGCCGATAAGAGCGACACTTTGGCTGACGAGAGCGACATAGCAGCTGACGAGAATGACATATCGGTTGGATAGTGTAACGGAATGCTTGACGACAGTGACGTGGCGACCGACGAGATCGACACACCGGCTGGGGTGCGGCGCTGCGTTAAAGGCATGCCTATCATGACTGGCGGGACATAGACAATTTAGATCAGCAGATACTGCTAGTCATGAGCGACGCGTTGTGTAAAGAGGAACACCTGCCTCTTGAGCAAGCACTCACAACATGCTCGGAAGGTGCAGCACCTGCGGACGGCGGGACGGAGACAGGTGGCACTCGTGCCAGCGGGACGTGTACATGCCCCCCGTCCCCTATGGTATTCCAGCCTCAGTCAAGGGATCGTCGCCCGATGGCTTTACCTGTCATTTCCACCGCGGCAAGGGTGGGACAATTTAATTCGTTCGCCACTGGTGAAGCGGGAGAGTGGTTGTATCAGGCCACTCAGGCTCATCACCTCTGGGATCGGTTTATGAGGCAAAGTGGAGACCATCATCATCTGCACCAGTGGTCCGAGTTAATGACACCAAATTAAGAAGGCTCGTCGCCCGGCACCAAGAAGGCTTGTCGTCCGACCAGGGTGCCGGACGACGAGCCTTCTTAATTTAGCGCGTGGGGAACTTCTGGTGATATGGACATTCATTTATCGCGGTGTCTTTGCGCCATGTTTTTGTAGTACTGCCCTGGTAGAGCAGCTGGCTTCCATCCACAAGCATTAAAAGATAAACACCCTCGTACGACCGCAGTAGAAACGAACACCCATCACGGGCGGCATCAGTAGCACCGGGTACGGGCATTTACGTGCGCACATTCGGGTACTAACGACGAAAACATTGAAGAACGGAGCCGGAAGAACGACGATAAAAACACGATGTGGATGATATACAGCATACCAGCAAATTAAAAACACGCGGTAAAGGTGCAGTCTATTCCTACCTCGCCCTAACGTGCAGGTAGAACCAAGGTAACTGGAAGTTAGAAAAGTACAGGACAAAACCGGTATGTACAGGACAAAACCGGTATGAGTCGATCAGTAGTACAGAGAAGTTATCATTTGTTTTAACAAATAACCCTCTTGACTTTTAAGCAGCAAATCAGCGGCGACAATTTGCCTCATCTGAGGGACAGCTTTGGCGTGAACCGACTTTACGCCAAGCAAATTGCCTTTGAAAACCATGCATTGCGCCATGCCGTGAAACCTAAAATTAAGTGATAAGCCCAGGTCTTCTGTATTTCTCACGGTGTGAAAGGACTTACGAGCTTCACCAGTGCTACTTCCTTCAAAATGTTCGCATTACTGTAGGAGATTCATGTGGACTTGGGCCATGCGGGGGACGGTAACCGGGGCCATTATATGGGTCCTGCTCAGGTCCGCCTGCAGAGACGTGCCTCTTCATTGACCCGCTAGCACCAGCACACGATCAGCACAGCTCCAGCACCAGCACCACCACACCTCTCCACAGCCGGCTGGTGTCAGCGAACGGTCGCTGTGCGTGCGGCGGCGGAATTGCTGTGTGTGCGGCGGCGGAATCGCTGTGCGTGCGGCGGCGGAATCGCTGTGTGTGCGGCGGTGGATTCACTGTGTGTGGCGGTGGCGGTGTCGCTGTGCGTGCGGCGGTGGCGTCGCCGTGCGTGCGTGCGGTGGTGTCGCTCTGCGTGCGTGCGTTGGTGCCACTGTGTGCGCGGCAGTGGCGTCGCCGTGCGTGCGTGCGGTGGTGTCGCTCTGCATGCGTGCGGCGGTGTTGTGTAGCGCGCGGCGGTGGCGTCGCTGTGCGTGCGGCGGCGGCGTCGCTCTGCGCGCGGCGGTGGCGTCGCTGTGCGCGCGGCGGCGGCGTCGCTCTGCGTGCGGCGGCGGCGTCGCTCTGCGCGCGGCGGTGGCGTCTCTGTGCGTGCGGCGGCGGCGTCGCTGTGCGTGCGGCGCTGTTGTGCGTCGCGCGGCCGCGCACGACAGCTGGGCCACGGCGCTCCCTGGGGCGCGGCGACAAGTGGCGACTGTCGGCGCGCCGCGGTCTGCTACCACCGGCCCATTTCCCCCGGGTGATCAGGGAGCGACCTTATCGCGGGCGCCGCGCACTTTGCCACGCGGCTTGTTGCCGTTGCGATGGGTCGTGTGTCGCGTACGGATCACGCCGTTCGATTACAGGAATTACAATGGTGCGACGTGCAATCGCTGTAATGTGTGGAGGGGAGGCGTAACGATTCAGCTTATGCATGCAGGAGCGCCGGCGGCGCGTGTAACGCGGGCGATGGGGAGAGTGACTCCTTCCGGACGAATGGGTACTTGTGGCTTCAGTGTGGAGATATCCCCCAGGGCTGCAGGACCGTACTCATGGTTTTATACGGTTCTGCTGCGTCGGCCTGTGTGAATCAATACGAGGCGTATTTATTACAAATTCATGAGTCTTAGCGCGCCTGGTGGCATCAGTAAATGTTCACTCAGTTATTCATTACGCCGGACCTGATTCATTTCTCCTTGGAGACCCGTTTTTGCGCTCGCTCAGAGACGCGTGCCGAAACTCGTTCCCAGGGGTCTTGAAGAACGTTACCGCCATATGTGGTGCCTTTGTCTTCAGCTTTGTTTTTTGACGCACTAGGGGAGGCTCGTCCATCAGGGCCAAGCAACAACATACTTTATGATTGCCCTTGCCAAAGCAGGTTATGTTGTTTTCCCAGGCATTTCAGTCTCAGCATTTCGCCATTCCTTACGTCTGGAGTGAAACGAGCTCAAGCGGTTTGACACTTTCAATTGCCTTCTCCATTTTTTACACATATATTTCAAGTCATTTCATTCAGTCTACGCATCACCTTTCAGATAGCCTATTATTTTTATTTGAAGCTCAAAAGAGAGGCGAGCCGTAGGGTACCCCTGCGACCATCTGTGGGACTTTCGACATCGAGCCTAACCCAAGTCAGGGCCTTCCTTCGGGGTTTGAGCGGCGCTCGGACTGCCCCCGTGTCACGGCGGCCCCTGAAAAGGGTCACGGCTGACGTCATGGCTGATGTCACGGCTGACAACCACAGTCTGCCGCGCAGAGCCCGGATGATCATTCGGTGTGGGGCGGTGGGTGAAGAAGGGAGACCGGACGTTAACATGCGCTCGGGTGGGCGTAAATTGGAACCCTCTGAAGGCCTTTCCAGAATGACTTCCGATCAAGGCGGTGTTGCCGCGTCTGATTTTGCATGGCTGTAGATAATTGTATAGCCAAATTTGGACATGTAAACTCATATGTGCGGTGGTAGGTTGCTGGTTATGGCAGGTCAAGGCCAGGCCAATCATCTAACGCGACTCCCAGAGATTCGGTCAATCTGGTGCGACAACAGATTGTTAGACAAGGCTTTATATCTTTCAAATGCTTTTTAGGCAATTGAACAGCTAGATTTAGGAATATGGCTCATTTCTTTGGCCCTGGGTTAGGTATGAAGGTCAGGTCGCGGTCAAAGCTGAAACTGCTTTTTTACTGCATAACTTGATTTATGGGGTATTTTGGCGCTCATTTCGAGTTTCTTGAATATGGGGACGTTAGCTGGCATCGTATCTGAAATTCAAGAACTTAAAGGAGGCCACTTATCACAAATTACCCCAATCAACATTTTGCTGTGATGAACGTGTCGTCTAGCGTAGTCCTTGCCGCTTATTTATATATGGAAATATCAAAACAATCATTTTGATTTTCATCACTTTGACCTTTCGCAAGGCAAATAAGGTAATGTTCCTCATATCAACACCAGTGAACTTTTGGTTGGAAGAGACATGTGGGTCAAAGGACGTTGTACTAGGTGGTATGAAAGCCCCTCGAACAACAGTCGGGTGTTTGACCTCGTTCTGCCTTACGTAACCCAAAGATCATGACCAAAGGACCTCAAATTTTGGCATGAGTGGGTTCATCGACAGGTCACCTGTGCTGTGAGTTCGATGTATCTAGCTCTATTAGATTTTTGGATCACAGAGGGGTGAATTGTTTCGCTCCCACCAGTGCGCGTCACCTTCAACCTTGTGCGTGTTAGAGCTTGCATTTGATAACTTAAATGCGCAATGTTCACCATAACTGGTTTCGTCCGGGTTTTAAGAAAGTTCAGTCAAAGAGTGCAACGCCGATAACAGCTTTGAACAGCAAGGAACGGATTGCTTCAATGTCTGGAAGCTGGGGTTTTAATCACCTAAGCACCGCTTGGTCAAAAATTCAATTAGAAGCTGTCTGGCAGCACACAGGACTAAAAGTGCTGCAGACGGGTGACCCTCTCCATGCCTTACAAGGTGCCTTAGAGGAACATTCCAGGATGTATGAACAAAGTATAACGGCGCTTATTCATAGTGTGGTGTGAAGTGTTTCACAGTTCGATGACTACTCGTGAGCACCAGCGCCTTGGATCCTTTGATCTAGGGATCTCAAGGTAAGCCTTTGATTGCACGATGGTGGCGATTAAATGGCTCAATCTTCCGGCGCCTCCACGTGGCTTGAATTAAAAAGTGATTACACACGGTTGACCTGCGATGGCCGGAGTATCCTACCATTCACCCCATGGCGTTCATTCGGACTAGGTCTGGTTTTAAAAGCATACTACCGTGCGTCGGCTAAAATACTGCCATGATAGCCTTCTATGCTGTGCTTTGCAGCTTCTAAAGCTACCAGATGCGTGAACTCAGATGTGACCGTGATAAGTGTCACGGATTGGAGGGCCTGTACGTTTGCTCACTCATGAAATGTCCACCTGAAGCTGGCGCTTTCATATTCGCTATTACTCTATTTCAGTGACTGGTGTGGGGATAAGTGTCTTATTTAAGAACAGTTATTTGTGAGTTATCCTAATCGCTTATTTTCGTTTTCATGGGCGACCAAAGAACTTCCAAAAATGTTTACGTCGCAGTTTTTCGATATTTGAGAATAGATTAAATGGGTCTGAAAGCTACAATGTAAGGTGCATGTTTCAAGAAGGTCGTGATATCTTAACCGGTTGAGGTCTGCTGATCGTTAATTCACGATAACGTTGCACAGAAGCTGAATGGCTACAAGCGTTAAGGCGTTTGCTTTGCTATGCAGCAGAGCAGAACAATATAACTTGCATGACAGGAGCTGTTCAGGTGCTTTTTTGTCCC